GATGAAACGGGGGTTGATGGATGGGGAATTTAATTCTCCATTGAACAGTCTTTGTTTCATCCCTTAATATTAATTAGTCGGCGAATAAATCAACTGAAAAACATAAAGTAAACATTGAGTACAAGGAGGACAGAAATCCCCCTCCGAACCTGTCCCTGTCACAGCAGGACTGCTACTGCCGAATACTCACGCACCCGACTCACATTTACCGACAATTCGACCGGGACGCCGCCTTTCCCGTGGGGTACCAACTAACATTTTTGGAGTCAGTCAAACCCCCCGATCCGGGCCTCTACTCAGGTCTATCCTCTTTGGCTTCCTATATCAGTCTATTATATTGAATATTCATACATATTATTTAATGATTTCGACTAAACCGGGATTAAACTGTGATTAAACCTAGCATGAGTTCGAGTTAAGTCCCGAATAAAGTTTGCTTAAATCACAATGAAATCTTGATTAAATCCGATTAAAACCGAGTAAAATGCACCCTAAACACTGACTAAACTCTGATCCTGATTAAACATGGGTTGAGCTCCGGTCGAACCTAGACGATCTATTTCCTAATGAAATCATAAATAAATCTCTATTAAAATCTGACTGAACCCGAATTAGCGCTTATATGAGGGTTTGAATGCACGATAATACAAAACAAAAAATGAAATAGTAGCAAAAGTTTCGAGGACATTTCAAGCAATGATAATTCTATAACATGAAAACAACGACAAGATGTAGCAAAGTAAAAACTTGGAAAACAGAAAATTCACTCGGAAGCAAATAGCTAATTAGTTAGCAACAATAACTATACTCATTTTCAAGAAATCCGCTTGTTTTTCTCGGTGTAAAGTTTTATTATCGAAACAATAGTCAAGATTTCATTGCTCGCATGTTAATGTTAAGAGACCTTTGCCACCCCATCAATTTTCCCACCCCATAACCATTATGAATCCTCCAGCAAAAACATCAACAAAAATCATAACAAAACACTCTTAAAAATGATAACGGATTGCCTCCACGGTAAACAGAATCGAGCCAAGTAGCAGCGTTCATATACCCAACGCACGTTACCATGACGATGTACAAGGTAGCGTTGCACAGAGGCTTTTTGGCTGTATCTCCCGTCGGGGGATGAGATGGGTGAAAGTGCCAACCTCGTGCGCGAAAGAGAGTAAAACCCCAGAAGAGCCTAAGCGCCCCTGACCCTCCGCCACACGAGGCACTATACAGGCATCGAGACAGAGCCGTCGAGACGCTGCACCCCACCACCGAGAGACATCCCTCGCGCTCCGGCGCAACCCCTCGAACATCCCCATAACGCACGTATGTGTATTCCTCTGGACTATGTGGCTAGAAATAGCCCCACGCTACTCCCTTTTTTGTTCTTGCAACCTGATGCAGATATTGGGCTATGCTACTGTACTTGGATTACTGCAGGCATTTTATATTCGCGTATACACAGTCACGTATCTGTCGGTCGAACGCACACGAATACATCTCCTCGCCCTTCCCTAGGAAGCTAAAGGGACGAGACCCCTCTTCATTTAACGCCAGACGATAGGCTACAGTGCGCGTGCTATGCGGACGTAAGACGACGGAGGGCGACGACCCGCTACACTGTGTCATCTACCAACGAATTATACCTCGACACGTCGAATTCTCTAGGCAATTGTGTACTTTTTTCCTCATTTCTACTACGTGAAAATACTGAAAAAGAAACAAGTCTCGAGTTTGGGAATTGGTTTGGGCAATATTGAAAATTTCATGGATTTTATATCGAATTCATGTCCTCGTTATTACAGACCGACGAACAATTTAAAATTCAAAGGATCAAGTAAACCTGTCGCAGTATCCAAATATTCATTCTTGGGATGAAAAATATTTGCCGCGAGTCAATAATTGTCGCGTCATTAATAATGCATTTTGTTTGCCCCTAATACTTCTTTCCCGCATACAAAATCCAAGAAATAACTCAGCCCCGTTGGATATATAACGTAACGGGTAAATAAAGGAAGTCACGATAGAGATTGGAATGTCGTTGGGTAATCGTAGGCAAATGTGTCCCCCTACAATTCCCCCTGCCCGTTGTTTCTCTTTTATATTTGGACTTTTTCTGTCACATTGTAATGAAACATACGACCTAGATCTGATTAGTCGCTCGATACTGTACTGCAGCCGTGTAAGTCACGCGATCTTTTTCTGTGGCTCAATGTACAGAGGTTTTTCGTAGTTTGGTAGTGCCAGTGTGTGAATATATATTAAATCCGTTGAGCCTCCTATATAGCCTTCGATGTAATTTTCAATGATTTTTGAAGATTTATTACCAAAATGACTAAACGACGTGGCATCCCAGAGATGAATGTCTAGGTGGCATTCTAGGAACGATGGACTCCACACACTCAAGACTTCACATAATTCAGGAATCAATATCACCCCTTGAAATCAAGAACCTCAGTGCTTATTTTAGAATTCACAACTCCCAACATAAAACTATTTATATTGGCTGTTCACGTTACAACAATAACTATACATTGGAGGGTTTGTTGACTCATTTACAATGAATTTTCGCATTTCATTGTATAATTATTTTATAGCTCAACAAAGTATTTATTACCTCAGAATCACAATCACTCGTTGAAAGGTTCACTGACTTCATCACATGCTGTATTCTAATTATCACACCACCTCATAAACACTCCATTAACAACTACAGTATTTATACTACTTGGATCGATAATTTGCTTTAAAATAGACCATTTCATTCCCCCATCTCCAATAAGTTAAATTTCTGCATCAATAGAAAGGATGATCCATTTTTTAAAGTGGAGTAACTCTCGTAAAATTGCCCTCCCTCCTTTCATTTCCATAGTTGAAAATGTAAAACATCCACATCACTAATTCTCCCTCTTTGATCTATACGCCAGCAATCGATTTTATTCACGTGGCGCCCTCAGGCAGCTGGAATAATCCCTTCGGCTGTCGTTTCGTTCAATTTTTCTCACCTATCCAATTTGAATTTTCCATAAACGGGCGATTGATCAAAAAATATCCCTCTCGTCACAATCGCTTGAAACCTCTTTTTGAATTTTTATCATCCCCATTCACCACTTCGACAACTTTCTTCTCATACTATAACTTTTATCGTGAAAATAATGCTCCAGCACTTGTGTTATTCAAAAATTTGTGAAACAGTTTTGAATGAAATCGAGCACGAAAGGGAGTGCACACGGACGGAATACGTGATTGTTTACAAACACGACGGATAGAGTTAACTTTTGAAATAAATTCGTTGGAAAAAAATGTCACCGGCATCAAAGACGATAAAACCACGTGGTAAATAGTATTGAATCGTGGATTTGCGACACGTACGACGTTGACCGGTAGGCGTCATACGACTACACTGAAACATTGGGGTAGCTTTTGCCACCCTCGCAGACCAACTTCTGCGATTCTCTTCCCCTTTCAAAACACACACACACATATACATACATAGTTGGATCAGCGTTAGTAGTAAAGACCCCCCCCCCCTCCTGGATTTCTCCCCATTTTCTCCCGATACTGATATACTTTACAACCAGCGTGCTTAGATTGCGCTTGTATATACAACCCTCTCGTCACTCGATAAATATCATCCCTTTACTTAGCAAGTCAACCAATATTATTTTATCTTTTTAAAAGATTAGATCGCTGTTGATATTTCTTTGACGCGTTGATGGAAAAAGTTGAGGAGCATTGAGGATAAGTGTATTTTAAGTTCTGAATGGGTTCTTTGGAGGAGTTTGGAGTCGATTGTGCAGTTTGCTTTGGAATTAATTTGTTGGAGGAGATTCTTGGAAAGAGAAACGGGAAAGACGCGCCATCTTGTATTTATGGTAAAAAGTTCGCCTGGTTTATCTGTTGGTAAAAAAGACTCTTAGTGAAGTTGTTATGATGAAGCGTTTGTAACAATTGAAAATATTCAGAGGAGGACGGAGATGTTTGTGTAATTCTCTTTGTTGTTATATATATAATAAGTTGTTTGTAGAGTGCAATTGATTTTATGGAGTTGTTGACAAGTATTGAAATATGGGGTTAAGATTGACAAGCTCAAAGTTGAACTTGACATTGAAAAGTTTGACCAGGTTGACTGGAGCTGATTGTTCTCGAAGTGCAATGCATGCAGTGTGTGCAAGAAGGGATATTGATTTAGAATTGAAATTGTCGAGAGTGTCATTGTACTGCAGTGAGACCCCGAAGAAATGCTGGCAGTGTAATTTTCCCTACAAGTCTGAGTTATTCTGTCAAAAGTGTAAAACCCTTCAGAAACCACCTGAGTCTCTGGATTATTTTGACATACTTGGGATTAAGAGAAATTACGATGTGGAAGATAAAGAGGTTCAGAGGAAGTACAGGGCACTGCAAAATTTACTGCATCCTGATAGATTTGGGAATAAAACTGAGGTGATTAATCGATTATTTTTCATCACGCTGTGTGTAAAGTGACATTTTACCCAGACATGGTGATGAAAAATAGGGTTCAATACTCGCGGGAAAAGTGTTTTTAGCCTCGTGGGATTATATAAACCTCCCACGAGCCCAAAAACACTTTCCCGCAATCGTATCGAAATATACTAATATGTTTCTGAACTTGATGGGAATATTAATTTCAGCCCATAACACGGTCTTAAAGCATTGGGTTGATCTCGCCCTGAAGGATAAGACCTATGCGTTAAAAAATTTTTTTAACAATGATTACAAATGTGCTCGACAAACTTTCTTTAGCGCGTCTAATTCCCAATAAAAAGAAATGGAAAATTGCTCTTGTATTGTATATAGTATATAGTTATTTTTGCTAATAAATTAGCAATCATTCTGAATGTTTACTTTGCGCATTATTATCTTGTCAGGTATAATTCATTGTTTGATTTGATTAAATTGAATAAGATTTCTTTTTAACTAATTTTGTCAGATTTTCAATTTAGTTGAATGTTATCATCATCATTATTCTTACTATTCCTTTCTTCTATACAGCCGATTGTCTTTTTTACAGTTCTATCTATCCTCAGCCCTTTAATAAAATGGTAATAGAACAAATTTATTTACACATACTTGAATGAATTTGAAACATCACATTTGAAGAAACCATCAGAAAGCTCACTTTCAGGGAAATTCATGAAAAATTAAAAATTTTGAACAATCATCATAACAATCAAATCAACCAATATAGCTGTCGTAATCATCTTTCAACTTCGACTTAATGGCATTAAAACACACATTTTAAGCCATGATTGAATTCATTTGAAGCATGATATTCGAAGATATCCGGAATTCCGATTATCAAAATATACAAAATTTTTGCAAATTTTTAAATAAATCAAAATAACGATTATTGCTATCACTTTCATCTCTAAACTCGGTTAAAAGGACATTGAAACAAACTTTTAAACCATCATTCAATCGATTCAGATTTTTTTTATTATCGTAGGGCAACCGATTTTCGAAAAAATTGAAAAGTAACAAAATTAATCGATGGATTAAATTTTAGTTAATGGCGATTGATAGGGCGCAATAATACCTACATTCTAAAAAACGATTCAACTTCATCTATTCATTAGCGAACAATTGAAGAAAAACGTTGTTACATATGTACACACATGTACGGATGAGGTCTAACAATGGCATTTTCGGGCTTTTTAAATCATACTGGGTCAATATAACACAAAAAATCCAAAACTTAAATTTGAACGATTACAAAGCTTCCATTGGGAAGCAAAAATATTAAAAATTTCAAAACCAGCAAGAATACCCATGACGGATATATAATAATAATAAAAGTATCTAATACGTTGATTACTATTAATAAATGATACTTGTTCATTATAGAGAGAAAAACAATATTCTGAGAATTTATCATCTTTATTGAACAAAGCGTATGCAACGTTGGCAAATCCCCTAGATCGAGGTCTTTATTTATTAAAATTGAAGAATCTTTCAATTCCTGAAGGAACAACTAATTTAGATCCAGAGTTCCTTATGGAGATTATGGAGAGGAATGAGGAGGTTCAAGATGCATCAGAGGATAAGGATAAAATTGTACAATTAATGATGAAAAACCACACGATATTGGAGGACTTATCAAGGTACTTTTGATGCTAAAACCCTACTTTTTAAATTATCTAATAGATTTGATTCTATAATTATAGGAAAGCTTCAGAGTCCTTCCATAATAACAACCTGGAAGAAGCTAAATGCACACTGGTGAAGATGAAATATTACGCGAGTTTGGACGAGAGACTGAAAAAAATCAAACAGGACTTAGGAATTGTAGATTAGAACGAGAAATAAATTTTCCTTTGGAAAATAACACAACTCTGTAAATAAATAAATACTTCAAAGGACTTTATTTATACAACTTGATTATCTTGCTTCCACTGCTCCAGCCACTGACAAACCCTATTAACATTCGCCTCAATTTCCTCTTGTGTATTACTCTGTAATTCGTGAACGATTTCCTCTTTGTATGAGGATTTGGCCTCGTCTAAAATTGTCTGAAATATTTCACAGTCAATATTGTCCTCGAGTTTCTTTCCCAGGTAGCCCCTGGCTGTCAGACGATCATAAAGGATTGTGTTGCTGGTACGAAGAACAAAAACAATGTCAAACCATCTTTCTGGGAAGAAATCAGCACCGTGGTAGTCGACGATGTTGCCTCCTTTGCCCATGTAGGTCTCCATGCTATCCAACAGCTTGAAAACAAAATTAAAGTTGTGAACAGATAAAATAATCGTAAGGGTTGATTAAAATGGGTGTACTCATGGATCGAATTGATAACTCCCCCACGAATCCTTCACTGTTATTGGAGTGAGAAAAATCAATTCGATTATAATACTGAAATATATATCTTGAATTTATTGTATTATTAGATCACTTTCACCTGTTGGATCTTACGATGAAACTCCACTCTAATGCTTACTAAATATTATAAACATCTGATAAAACCTAATAAAAAAAAAAAAGCTATATAACTGTACAACTGCGAAGACGTTTTCGTTTAGCTTCCAATTAGAATCAAGTTATTAGAGGACACACCGATTGCAAAAAATAACTGCAAATCCCATCGTTTTTCTAAGTAAAATTTTTACATTGTCGAAAAATTCACATATTTTTGTGTTCTTCTTCACAATCTAATCTGATTAGTTTTCATGTCCATGTATTAGGGGAGGATGGGTCAAAATGGACACTTTAGACTTTTCTAAAATTATTCATAATTCCGAAACAAATTTATCAATTGAGCTCAGTTTAGGCTCGTCACAAAGAGAAAGAGTTCTTCTTTGTAATGAAAAAAAAAATTATTAAATTTTATCAACATTTCAACCCCTCATTAACATCTTAAAACAAGTCAAAAGTGTCCGTTTTACCCCACCCTCCCCTAATTGTATTTTTTCTTTAATCGAACTGTGTCGTATGTTTAAGGGACATAGTAGCACAAAATGTTGTTCATATACATACAAGAATACGAAGTTCAACTGATTCGAAGGGTCACAAAATGTGGAGGAAACATGAAATCATTGTAATATCGTCCTCCCTCCAGGTCGGGAAGTTAATAAACCGAATTTTAAAATAATAAACAAAATAATTGATATCATAATTGGTTAAATCAACAATCAAACTAATTGCTCGTTTAATTAATCAATAAATAATTTATTCAACTTCACTCACTGTGTCTTCATCTAGCACAGGACATTTGTACACTTCATCATATTCTTCCAGACATCCATTGTCAATTGCAAGTTTACTGACATCCCGCCAGATCAAGCCGGTTCTTTGGGCTAATTTCTCAGCCATTGTGCTTTTGCCCACTCCAGGGGTACCTGTCATCAGCAATTAATTGATCATTGATGAATGATAGAGGATTATTGACGATCGCCGACGATTCACTTCGATTTGAGTTTATTTCGAATAAGATAATTCAACAGCTGTAGACATGCTTCAATTACCTGTTATGAGGATATTTGGTGCTGTTCTCTTTGTCGTAGGCATTTTACAATCAAAAGTGTAAGTTGAAGTTTGGAATTTTAATAACGAGTCCTTCAAAATATTATAAAATATGGAGATATATTATTACAAATCAATAATTCGTAGTCCGGTTAAAAATACACATTCCGGAGTAAACAAATATTTGAGGTTAGCCCCTTCATGCGATGGAGAACAGACCTGTTTTCACTTCAGCGACTGTCGCTGAGAGGCTTTGGTACTTACGGTTATTTGAATGTTCCAAGGAATGTGAACAGTGGCTGATGAATTGCGACAGTGAAGCTTTGGTAAATGCATTATTCTTTTGCTTATTGCTAATTGGGGTTTAGAATTTACCGGGATAATTGTTTTCAGTGAAATTATCTAGCTCTATCCATGCGTTTACTGAATAACCTATTATACGTAAGTTCCATCGGTTATCAGGGTACTCTTCAAGCGAGACAATTGGTCTTCTAGCTCTGTCATCTTCTGTGTGAATAATAGTCCCAAATGATGAAAAATCGTTGGGATAATTTATGACGATGGTAGGGAGATATTAACATTTCGTACTTGAAGATATTTTTGTCGTTGACTATCAGCCATTGCTTCAGTCGTTGCTACGAATCCTTTGTATCTCTCCTCCAACATATTCACGAGACTGTCTAATTCACATTGCTTTTCAGTACTCAGGGAAGTTGATAGTTCGTTACGTTGCTCTTGTAGCTGTAGTTCCATTGCTTTCATTTCTATTTCTTTACTCTGTGCATTTAGAATTGACGCAATTGATATGAATAATCGAGTTGATGCTTCAGGATATCTTAGCGTATTAACTCAAATATCAATGAGGGTTCTGATTAGAAATGTGAGTGACAAAGATGCGAGTGTCCAAGACTACTGTCATGACCGGTAATTACTGCGCCGAGAATCTGACCATGTGGTTAGAAAAAAAATTACAATTGGTCATAAGCATGAAATGACCGAATTTTGATCGTCAATTTCCAGTTATATAGAAGAACCTCAATCTACGAATACTAGTCCAGCGATTTTTAAACTGTTCAAAATGTTTAGCTGACATTTCCAGTTCACTTGTCGGAAATTTTTATCACATTTAATTTTCACTGAAATTTCCCTTCTCAAAATGTTGGAATATTATTGAATTTTGAGTGAAATCTGAAATTTCGTGATTTCTTTCCCCTTAAATTGCATTCAGTGGCACTGTCCTGACCATTAACAGTCAATTGTCTAAGAAATTTCGTTTTTTTTTCTAACAGTGTATCATTGAGAACGAGGCCATTCATAATAATTAATAAATAAAATAATAAATTATAATAATTCAATTCTATTGAGAGTTTTTCGATCGAGCCCTTAAAAAATGACCCAAAAATGACCGAAATAACATAGGCGGTCAATTTGCAACTATATAGACGATTTCGTATATTCGAAAATCGTATACACTGAGAAAAAAATCTCCCAAAAATTAGTGTGCTGTCCCCCAACGCCGGGACATAACATGGGGACGTCGAAAAATTCATAAGCGGCACCCTAATTTTTGGTGGGACTCCGGCCACTTTTTCGGGGGATTCCCGTAAAAATTAGTGTGCCACATGCGAATTCTCCGATGACTCCCTGTTATGTCCCAGCGTTGGTGAACAGCACACTAATTTTTGGAAGGATTCTCACAAAATTACGATGTATTTTTTTCTCCGTGTAGAAATTTTCTATACGGATTATGTATAGAAATTCTATAGGATTTCCGTATATGATATTCGGATATTTATATACGAATATTTCCTATACGAATTATTTCTACACATAAATTTTTACATAAATATTTGTTTTCATACGAAAGATGTCTAAACGCTCCAGAGAAAAACGTAAAAAAATGTCGCAACTCCATACGAAATGTTTCTATACATGTGGCAGTGGGTCGTACAGGATCAAACCTATAGAAATCGTATAGAAATAATTTGTATAAAAAATATCCGTATAGAAATATCCGAATATCATATATGAAAATCCTATAGAAATTCTATACGCAACCCGTATAGAAAATTTCTATACGATTTTTTCATACGTGATATATGACGGTCATTTTCTACACAAAATTCGGTCAGAGTCAGAAAACAGAAACCGGTCATTTACGTCTAACCTGACCAAAAGGAAAAATTACGGTCATCTCTAGTTCTGACGTGGAATTAAAACGTCAACGCAGAACCCTCATCAGGGCAAAATCTCTGGGAAGTCCCTATTCTCATTGCTGCAATGAGTACAGTCATATATCCATTTTTTAAATATATTGATACAAAATCGCAGAAATTCAAACTAATAGACAACGTTATTTCCTTCATGTTGATGCAAATTTAATCCATCCGTTCAAGTTGATTATTCTAAAATAAAATGGGCAAGATGCTCCAAATATAAACACGTTCGCATGAGCTCAGGTGTGGCTCAAAATTTTAGATATCTGCATTATTTGCCTGGATGTACTATAATTTGCCACATTGCCTCCGATTTTTATTTTCATTTATAGTCTTTCAATCGGTCAATTATCAATTGGTAAATAAATCCTATAAGAGCCGGTGTATGAGAAAAAAATTGTTTATTTGATTTCATCAAAGCTACGGCAACTAGTTTTCCTCAATTATCAAAAAAGTCGGTTTTATATAATTCCCCGTTAGTTAAAAACAGACAGGGGGCAGCGAGCATATGATGCTGAGCATGTCATTGACTGATGTTTCACTGCTTTCCTCACCACCAATAAATTGATGATATGCTTCCGAATGGTTTCAGCATAATAAATTTTTTTACTCTCGGATATTTCTCCACATTTTTCCAATTTGAGCCTTTCTCTCCTCCCCCCCCCCCCNCCAACCTCCTGTATCGCATTTGCTAGAGGTTTTAGGAAAACGTAAGTTAGGAGAAAACCTGACCAGATAAAGTCCTCCCTTCCGAGACTTCTAAATTACTTTCCGAAATTACTTTCAAATCCTCATTTGTTTATAATTACTCGTTATTCCAATTTTTAGTTCTTTTTTCATGATGGTCGTTCACTTTTTTTTAGTTTCATTCTTTGTTCACTTTTTTATGTGAATTTTTTCACTTTATCGTAACAGTTTCAATATTGCGAGTATTTTCCCCAAGTCAAACTGGTATGCACGGGGAATGAAATACCAGAAAAATTACTGTGTTAGAATGGCAACATGGGTACATTTTGACGGACTCGAAAAATTTCACGTGCGAGCATCGAATTTTTGCGGTGCTTCAAGAATTTTTCTCGGATATACCGCGCAAGATTATTGTATTCCCGGTGCTGGCACATGATTTTTTTCTGATCCGTCAAAATCAATCCATTTTACCGTCCTAGGATAGTAATTGCTCTGGTATTTTTTTCTCCGTGTGGGTGCGTCTTTGTTGTGGTTTTAATACGAAACGTTCTGGTGCAATGAGGAAACTGCATGCCAAATTTAAGTTAATATATAGATTTTTGCAAAAATGAGAGTGCTAACAAGGATATTGAGCGAACAACCGAAAAATGGAAATATTGCGAAACCTTTGTATGAAAGGGTGTGCATATTTTTATTGATTGAGATAGAAGACATTGAAGGGAATATTTTGAAAAAAAAATTGAAATCAGTTGAGTAGTTTTTGAGATATTTGCGAAAAACGATTCAAAAACAAATGGTGATTTCTCAAAAATAGCTGGATCGATTGCGCTGAAATTGAGCACAGAGTTAGTTCTCATTCATATACCTATAATCTGACAAAAATTCAGATGTTTTGAAATCATTTTAGTACTTTAATTCTTCAATTTTCAAAAAGTCAACCACCAAGGACATCCGCACATATACACAAGGTGGTCAAACTTCGTATTTTTACGGTTCAGACCATTCTACATCATTTCCAAGCAAAATTAGAGAATCTAAAAATAGAACGATTTCAATACTTCCATTCGGATGCAGAAATCACAGAATTTTCCTCGGACATGAAACAAATCTTTTTTTGGAAAACGCATGAACACCCTTAAGTTGTTTCATTCGAAAAAGGTAGATGATAATATTCATCTGGAATTTATATAGGATGTTTAGAATCATAGTTGAATTATCCATGAATTTTTCTGAATTTCCTTTTCAAGTTATTATTAATTGTCGCTTCTTATATATGGGCTTTTATAGAGAATTTTCTGAAACTGCGTTATTATCTGAGTTGAAAATATAGTTTCATGCAAATTTGAAAGATCGCCATAAAGGCCCATGTATAATAAGTTAAGGGTATTATGGCGGGTTCCGCAAAAGCAAAGAATTGAATGAAAATTTTTCAACGTATTAAGGCAAATGACCCTACGCTCGTCTAGCTAAGGTGAACATATCATTAGTCCAATATTTCTATCGAAATGAGCGTGAAGATGCGATGATTTAAATTACATATAAGAGGGTAAAATCTTCAGAATTGGAATTTATTTATATTAATTATGATAATTACTATTTTTTAATAAATAATCGTCCATGAATGTGAAAAGTCCCATGTCCCTACGCTCGTTCATTTGTCCCCATGCTCGTTTGACACATGTCCCTATCTTCGTCTCGTGATTTGAGTGATATGGAAAGATGTTAGCCGAACTAATTACATCGTGAGTATCCTATTTTGTGATAAAACAACTTTAAAAAATATCTCGATGCACAAAATTATATTTCCATTGGACAGTCCAACCTTTTAAATGATTTTTTCATCCATTTAGTCCGTTACCAGTTGACAGTTGGGTGCAGAACGAGCGTAGGATCAATGCCATTTTCATTGTACCTATTCTTTTAATTAGCAATATTTCAGTGAAATATCCGGATATTACTATAATTTATGCATTTTTATTATATTTTTAACTATTCGAAACCTTAGCCAAGGGATTTTTAATTCCATTTTACTATTGTAACGGAGATATCAACGTTTTAAAATTGTGTTTCTTAACTTGTGGCTTAAGAATTAACTCTGTCGTAGCACGAGTTGATGTGAATGTGATTTTTCTCTCTTCTTATTCAATAAATCACTCTGCATTGGTGTCTATAACTTTTCTTATTGACTAAAATAATAACTCCAATCGTACTTCACTCTTAATAGACTTTTGGTCATAGCTGACAGGATCTGAACGAGCGTAGGGACAAAGACGGGCATCGGTACATTTACCTTCTTTAAGTTATTCAAAAACCGGATCGAAAATATCAAAAACTTCATGTACACAATACTAATGGAAAAAAATTCTAAAGTTGCTACTTATATACGCGGTTGAATGAAGCATCGATAAGTTCAGCATCTTTCCTACGTTATTTCTCGAGGAATAACCCGTAGGGAAAACGCTAAAAATATCGATGCCCTCTTCAACCGCGTGTGCAAGTAGCAAATTTAGACATTATTTCCATTGTTATTGTGTACATGAGGTTCTTGAAATTTTGCGCACGGTTCTTAAAGGACTTTTATAATGTGTTAAAAAAATTTCATTCAATTCTCTGCTTTCTCCCTACGATCATACTCATTCCAGGAATGTGAATAGAGGAACTAGTTAACTTGAAAATCATCAATTCTAATTGAATGACCGCAATTAGAAAAGGATTGCATTACTTTCTCTATCTCAAAGATCTTCTGCTTGTACTCTAGAATGACCTTCTGCTTTGATTTTTCCAGCTTCAGAAGACACTTTCTCAAGCTAGATACCTTCTGAGTAAGCACTTGATTTTGTTGCTGATTAGCTGCTTCCATCTCATTTCTAATTTTTGTGAACTCGTCTCTCATAGTTGAACATTGTTCACTCAATAACAACTGCAACTTTGCTTCCTATAATAAGAAAAAGTAGATGACTATCCGGAAAAAAGTAATAGTAGTAGAATTATACCTCTTCAGTCTTTGATTGCAATTTATTTTCCAGTTCTTGGAGTCTGTTATTTAATAGGAGAATATTTTTCTCATTGGTTTCATTTTTTCTCATTAAATCGTGATTAATCGCTTCTAGGTTTTTATATTTCGAGGCAAATTCTCTTTCTTTAATCTCGAATAATTCTTCATAGGTCTTTTGTTTCAACATTAATTCTTCTTCCTGAATTGGGGGAACAACATGAGACAATCGGGTATAATAAAAGTTCAACTGACAATATAGTTTCTGAACGATAACTTTTTTTTCAAGTGAAAAGTGTCTATTCTACCCCTGCCTCTTCTGACAACAAGCAATTTATTTCTCAAAATAACAGACTGCAAATAAAAGTTCTCACCTTTTCCTGAGACACTTTCCCCACTTTTTGAGTCAAAGTATCAACTTCCTGCCGTAACTTTTCACTTTTCATTTCCTCCTGCTGTAATCTTCCCTTGAACTTCTCGCATTGTTCGCTGATTGCACCCTTAAAGCGATGGATAATCTCTTCATGACACTCCTCGAGATCGTTCTTCATCTGCTGCACTTTCACAAGCCTAAGTTTCAGTTTACCTATGAACTGAGCCTCTCAAGGAATACAAAACTCTCTCACCTAGATTTCCAATCGTTTATCTCCACATTCTTCTGTTTGACAATCGCTCGAAGATGATGCAGCTCGTCAGCATCTCCGCATCCTTGCCTCTTCAACAGTTCTTGGTTCAAGTACTCATTTTGAATATGCAACTTTCTAGCAACGTTCGTCAACTCATCTATCCTCTGCTTGCAAAAGTGCAGTTGGCTTTTAGAGGGTTTATTCTCGAGAGAGTACTGAGCTTTTGGTGAAAACTCAGATCTGTCATCTTGACTGACTGTTTCGTCTGTTTCATCTTCTATTTCTCGTTGTTGGGGAGATGATTTTGTCCGAAGTGGCTGTCTGCATCTCATCCAGGGGTTTGTATGGGGGCGAAGTATTTGTGTGGAAGCAGAACTGTCACTGAAGGAATCCGGTTCAGTCGCCTAACAAGAATGACTCAAACGAAATTGATTTGGACACCAAAATTACCTCTGGAGTGGTCAACTTACGCTGAATTTTTTTTTATTCTCAATTGCACTTCTAGATTTAATAATTTAACTATTGTATGATTGATAATATAATTTAACAATCTCGGCGTTCTCCAAGTATTTTTTAATGAAAATAATGTCTTTAAGGCAACCAACATCCGTGTAAAATACTATTGGAAATGAATTACTATTGGAAATATAACTTATTGGTATTCTCCGAGTCTTCATACGTAAAATAGAATTGAAAAATTTTTAATCAGGAAATTTCTATTTTAAATAGTTGACAAAAATAATTCTCTTTCATTATTTTCAGTAGATAAAAACTCATTCGAGATCCGTCATTTCTCTTTTCTTTAATATTAACACGTCATATGTGTAGTAATTGAGGTTTCCGATGTAAAATCAAATTTTCCCACTGCATATTCGTTGAAATAGAAGGTATTGCAATGAAATCATTTTTTGATTTGATAAAATTAAATATCAAGTAAGGTGAATGTCCCACTATCTGTCTCTACCGTATTAGTCGAACTTTTTTGAAAATTCAACGTATTTCACGAGTTCAGCAATGTATTATTTGGTGCTACCCTTTGTCCATTGAGACGAACGAATTGAGCCACTCAAAGTGATGTTGCTTTGCCCATGAAAAATTACATATGATGTTCTATTTCTATATTCAATGACTGAATGTACACTTTATCCAAAATAGATTCTATTTGATTTTATTGGAATGGCTAATCACCAGTTCTGGCGATTAGCCTAGGATTGATAAAAACATACTGATGGCTGTTGATAAGGTATTGGAGGCAATGGACCCTTCGACGGAGCTCTGCTGAACACCCCCTCAACTCTCCCAGCCTTCAATCTCCGATACAACTCTCCAAGGTACTGATTCCTCAATGTTCGTTGATTACTCGCGTGATTCAGTCTTTCAAGCCACTTTCTGCAAATCTGAGCTGTTTGTGGATCTTTCAATCTCAGAATATAAGGTTTCGTTTCGTTCAGGGTCTCTCGGTAGTACTCGTCTAGGTTTGCATCGTGTTTCTCATTGTGATCTTTGGACTTTGACATGATCCATTAAATACAACTAGAATTGTTTACTGTACTTGCTCTTGTAGACCCTCATTTTATGTGTATCATGAAAATTTCTATGTCTCACAATTGAAAATTTCAGTGTACTCACGTGCAAGCTGAATTTATCAACAAAATCGAAAAAGAATTGAATAACTGCCGAGAATTCAGCATAGTAAGATTTTTATTATTCTCCATTTAAAATCGAACAATTAGAAACGAAACATATTAATTAATTACAAAACTATGTGAAAAACATGGTGTCGCAGGCTTGGATTTTTCAAATGAATAAGCAAGTTCTTTTCTTACTTACATCTAAATCTTAGGGTTTACTCTGAAGAGATCAGTTACAAAAACTTTATATTGTAAAATTTTACTAGTCAATCCAGACTCGATCTTCAATTTTACATTATAAAATATTTACGGTAGAATCATCTATCCACGACTATTGATTTTGATTTGATTATCAGCTGTTTGTTTTAGCTCAATGAGTTTATTCTTCATTGGTTGAAGATGTGTGCCTGTCCACTCGTCTATTGCCGGTGGAAAGAAGATAGCTTCCATTTGAACTTTCATGTAGGATTCTAGGGAAGTCAGTTCCAGAAGTAAACTGGAAATTCAGTAATTCAATTAAGATCATGTTCATGAACAAATCATTTATCATTGAAACAACGCATTTATCCTTCTATCAAGTTTAACATTAACTTACTCTGAAAACGCTGGAATGAGACTTTCTAGTTGCATCGGATTTGTGTAACTGTTAGCCACTTGCCATGGATTCATCCATGTTAAAATTCTACAAATTATGGTAAAATATATTACTACGTGGTGACATCTGCAGGGACATTGTGAGACAAGAGAAGTCCAAATAGTTTGCATGGATTATTTCATAAATTATCTTCGAAATGGATATTATCAGGTGAAAATGTAAAAATAACTGTCTTATTTCCATACAAAAAAGCATCATGAAATTTGAAAGGATAAAAGAGGGGTTCCCTTTTCTGACAAAGGTTCTCCTGCCTTTTGATTTTTTTTTCACCTTGTCTGGATTAAATATCTAAGAAATATCTAAATAAATTGTCTTACTTGAGAACTCGGATCTTTTCTTTTCGCTGCCGGATACGGCAAAAGATCTGAATGCTTCAAATTAAAAAAAAAACAAGTCGAAAATAAGCCCCCAGCGGCGAAAATAATCGAAAAAATGACGATGTGTGACTTTTTAGAAAAAAAGATTTTTGGATGGATTGCTCTATACCAGGACGTATTGAATCGGTCGCCACTGAATTTTATACACAAGTGTCATAACACTCAGATGTTTATTTCAAGTTTTACGCGTATTAGGAAACGCCATGCACATTAACTCACAATTGAAAAAATTGGAAAACGCAAAGATCTCAAAAAGTTTGTATGAATGGCTATCCATATTTTGATTGATCTTGATAGGGGGCGGCAAGACGAGTATTTTGAAAAAAAAAAAATTAATCGGACCAGTAGGTTGGGAGATACTGACCAAAACTATTTTTTTTTTTAAGTTGAATATCTTCTATACCACTTGTCCTTTTGCCTATCCACAATCGCATCCTATAATATCATAAGAGCTATAATCTCACCAAATATCAACATCCTATCTAATTTTTTTCGGGAGTTATTGCGTTCAGAATAATTCTCTCATAAAAACGAAAGATGCCGATTATTTGATTTGATAGATATTATCATGAGGAATATTTTGACGTAAAAAAAATCAATTCAGTCGCGTACCTAGTTTTCGAGACATTGAGAAAAAAGACTTTTGAGAATTTGCTGTATCTCGGAAACTACTTGACCGATTGAACTGAAATTGCGCCCAAAACTGCTCCAAAAAATACCAATGGAGAATTTGCATGAATTTTTTAAAATTTTCTAATCTCACGATTGGGACCTGAATAATTTATTTTTCATTTTCAAACATTTGAAATATCCTTCATTAATTAATAATTCATTGTTAAAAGTTGAAGATTTCAAACGCTTTGAAATCGCCAATGACATCCAATCACAGAATCAATCGCAGAATGGCTCGAGTCGACCTAACCCAATCTTGAGGTGTGCCTCGACCAATGGAGGACGACAATTCCCCACTCTTCTTTTTCCACCAATGAAGTGTTGCCTGAGCATCTTTTTGACATCATTACCGAAAAATTGGTCTCGAAAACGACTGATTTTCAATTAATTATCATAACACATCCAGGCAATGTTTCTCCATAATTTTCGTTTAGCTATCCATATGTTACAATGAATGTGTGAATAGGGGAATTAGACAGAATTGAGCTTCATACAAGTCTCCTATTATGTGATGAAATTTCAGATTTTTAGCTTCAACATTAGTGCCTTTTCTTCAAAGATTTATGAAAATTTTCCGAAAAATTCGCACACACATCCGAACATCCCTCTACACATTTTCTAAAAACATCATGTCTTCATGGTTCATGACATTCTACGTTGTTTCCAGATAAAATTAGGAGATCGTCAAAATCGATGATTACAAAGTTTCCATTCAGACGTAAAAATGCTCGCATTTCGAAAGGTTGGGGACACGCTGTATGCTCACGAAATAATGAGCAAACATATTTTGAACTCATCTACTTCAAAGAAGATACAAAATAATTGAAAATACTTACTGATCACTATTGACCATGCCATCGAACTTGATCTTGAAGTTCAAAAACCACTCGATCCCTCCCGTCAACTGCCACCCAGGATAAGAGAGATTACTGGCTATTGGTGCAGGCCGTATTGGCGGATTAATATGCAGTGGGTGGTCAATATACCCCAGACTTTTGGCAACCTGCATGTGGGTTTGCTCAGAATATCCGTGCAGCCATACCCTTAAACACAGCGCCAGTGACGGTATTGCAGTGGGCAGAAGTTCACACATGGTTGCATAGTGATCATATCTCGACCAGCCGGTGAATGCAGTCCCCCGGAATTCATTGATTTTGTTACCATGGATGCCAAGCTCTTCTAACCATCTCTCGTGATTACTTATGTGATGGCTTATCACTGGAATTTGTCGGGTTGATCCTGTCGCCCCTTTGAATGCTGTTGCTGCCCATACGTTAGGGAATACTGCACTGTATTTCGTCCACAAATCTTCAAATAAAACGAAAGATTATAAAACATTGAAGAAACTCTAGGGTTTCGAAGGAATGAGAGCAAATTACTATTCACCTTGGGGAAGAGAGAATGTTTCTCTGGAATTATAATGCCATATCATTGGTTCCACGTACTTTCCAACATAATACTCTGAAAATCAATGAAACAGAAGGATGTTATTTCATTTTCTCAATTTAAAACAGTCATGAAATGGTAAAACGAGATGAATTAACTTTTTTCAAAGTTCAGTTTTTACTAAATATCTAGAGATTTAAGGGAAATTTTTCTAGATACAAAAAAGCACATCCCAAAATTAAGTTTGATGATATTAAAGAAAAACGCATTTATTCTCACTCGTTTTGCCACTTGACTACACACATAAGATGGTCCAATAATTGAAATACCATTCAAAACTTGCAAATCTGTGCTCCTCAGCATATCATCCCAAATGATGATTTTCAAGCAAGGATACATCTCCTTGATGTATTGTGCAATAGCGAGCACATGCTCCAGGTAAAGAGTGGACTTGCCATGTTTACTCAAACTGGCCCGTTTGGAGCAGACAGAGCACAGCCCGAGGTGCCAGACCTCGTCTGCTCCGATGTGGAGATATTGAATGTCAGGGTGGAACGACACGATTTGTCGTACGAGGGATTTAACCAGGGGAAGAGTGGCTGGGTTCGATGGACAGATCGAGCTCGGAAAGTTTTCTACTTCTCTCAGAGATCTCCACTGGTCGTGTTTTAAAACGAACTACAACAGAGTGGATGCAAATGTTGAAAGCCAAAGTGAACTAAAAAATCCAAGGACTTTCAAAATACACCGCAGTCTTCTGTTAAGAGAAAATATTGGCAAACCTTTTTTTTACAAAAATTGATTTTCAACAAAAAATGTCTGTTGATTAGCAATGCCTGAAAACCGCTCATTCTGAAGGGAGAGTTTACTCACTTCTAAATGACCAAAGGTTTGAACCAAAGGAACAACTGCCAGTCCACAATCTCCAGCAATTTGCAGTATCTGCAAAGCTTCTTGTGCTGTATAACCACTTCCTAGGCTGCTGGGTCCATTGCTCCCAATGCGTGACAGCTCTCGATTGTACGGAAACGTGTCCTCCCACTCTAGCAACAAGCCTGTGGCACCCCATGTCCTCAGATAAGGAAATAACTAGAGCACGTTTAAATACGAGATTATGAACCCTTTGTTGACATGTCAAAATGAACACTTAATTGTTTATTTAGCTTACGAACCTTCTCGAAATAAGCCACCCGAGGTGGGGCGCCCTTAAGGTCGAGGTGAACTAGTCTACAAGATCCAAAAAATATTTTTAGCGAATGTCAATCTTCAAACACTAGTTAATGTTTGAAATGCGTATTTTGCGCCTTTTGTTTTTACCTGTGCGAGCCGAACGTGAAGTCATCCATTTTTTTTTCATTTTACTGCAGAGCTCAGACGAGCTGTTATTTCATCACAACAAAAATGGTGCAATCATTAATTTTATTATCTAATTTGAAAAAACGGGGACCAAAGACTATTATTTTTACATCTTGTCAATCTAAGGACTGAATATTGATTATGTTAATTTCTAGGTGGATGGGCGGGCTTTTCAAACGTGCTGGGATCAATACTTAATTCACGAAGACACAAATTGAAATCAATTCTTTGGGATTTCCCTTGTAAAATTTCGTTTTTTTAGTTAAAGTTAGTTACAGAATATATATTTTTCATCTGGATATTTATACGTTTTCCCTACGTCATTTCCAGGTATAGAAATTATTTATAGACATCGATTATTTGTTTTTAAATTTGATTTATTATACACAGTCGGGCGAACGAAATCGCATTTCATTTTTCATCAAGATAATAAATTAATTATTATCCCATCAGTAATATTGTTCCATTTGTACAAAAATGATCTGACCAAGGATGGCAAACTGCCCATCCAACAGATAAAAATCTCATCTGCTTTGGCTCAATTTGTTCAAAAATTATACTCCATCGTGTGTTTAATTGCTGCAGTCTTAACATCATAGAAATAGAACGTTAAATATTTCTAAATCGATGCGAAGAATAATGCTAATTCCATCAGGCTGACCACACAATAATTTTAGGGGATGGGGGAAAATAGGGATTGAATATTCAATAATAACCAGTCAGTGATTTACAAAAGATAGGATCATTCATTTTCATATTTTTTTTCGTCATTAAAAAATTGAGCTAATCTTAAAAATCTACAGTTCAATCAAAGTAGACGCGGTCAAGTGTATTCATTGGTTATACTCATATACATCAGTTGTTTTTTTCGAAAAACATAAAAAAATGAGGAGAGCCTTAAGAAATTGAAAAAAAAATGTGACTCCATAACAATTACAATTATTCCATAAAAAATTATCAACTTCAGGATCAGATTCATCGTTATCTCCTGGTCAAGGACATGATTACAAAACATGGTCAATCATCTTGCCGTCTAAGCATTCGAAACGAAATCAATTTTATCATAATCGGCAGTATCTAAACAGAACGAATAGGCAAATCACGTTCACTGTGAGATTTGAGGAGAAATTACATACATTAGTCAGTGAGTGACAAACTGACTGGACTCTCACAGAGAAATATGCTCGTCAGTATAAACAAAATAAATAAATTAATTACGGAAAATTTGACTCTTCATACTTTGCTACTACGACCATACTCGAGGATTTGCTTGTGGTAGAAGAGGAGATACCTGAAACATCAATAAACAAGTGGGTCTTTATCATTGTACAGCTATTTTTGCTAATGTAGAAGTAATATAAATAGTGAATGGCTTTTGAATAGAAAATTTTCACATCATTCAATGGATTTTAAACATTTTTTAAAGTTTTGGTCAAGCCACCGATTTTTGAAAAAAATCGAATATTCGAGAAATTAACATATGAGCTACTCAACAATACCTACATTTTGAAAACGAAATAATTACATGTGATCGATCCATTAGTGAACAATTTACGAAAAACTTGATGACATTCACAGACATACGGACAAGGTCTGAGAATGGAATTTTTATAGTTTTCATATTGCAATAGGTTATATAACACAAAAAATCCAAAACTCAAATTTGAATGATTAGAAAGCTTCCATTCAGAAGCTAAAAAAACAATCATCTCATTGTTATTGAAATAATCAATCTAAGGACAGAAAAAAACTCTCTTTTATTCACAGTGATGAACTTGATATTCATTAGTTCAAAAATACCCACCCTTCACTGGTCAAAACGTCTTTGAGCCTCGCCTTGGTGATCAAATGATCATCACACTTGAACCATTGGTCCCTTTGCTGCCTGATGAAGGCAGTATAGTGACCAGTCTCCAGTGAGCCTTCATGATTAATAACAGCAAACAGTGAATATCTGTTATCACTGAATGCCGCGTCTTCGCCATTTTTGGGGAGGCCATCGATAGAATCGCTGTTGTTATTACCATTGCGCTTGTGTGACATAAATGGCGTCATGTCAAGCTGCTCTGGGAATGAGATAAACGTCGATATTTTCTTATCCTGGATACTAGAGTGCTCAAAGCGCTTAAGATGAAAACTCGCGACAATAGGTAGTTGTTTCATTGTTAACTGTTTGGTGCTTTCTTGATAACTCTGACATTTGCTGCATTTGATTTTAGCACTTGAGCCCAGATGCTCAGCTCGCGTGAAACGCTCTAGGCAATCGAGAAGTGATGTGGGGGGTCCATTGGTGTCAGAGCCAGAGGCACCAGCTGTTGGACCGAGGTCTAGAGATATGTCCCAGAATGGATCGATGGTGGTGGAAACGCCACTGAAGAAAATTCGTGTAATTAACAACATACAAATTAACGATTGATTATCTTTATTTTCAGGACGTTTTCTCTGAGGATGCATATATTGATCCGTTATAAACAGCAATTTGGAGGAAATTATAGAATGGGAATCAAATACAAAAATTGTTCCTAAACGATTAAAACTTTTTACGCTAAAATTTCCGGTGCATCTCTTGTAAAATTTTCCGTCATTACTTGACGAAATTACTTGACGATTTTCACTTGAATTTCAAATATTTATGGAAAAATCCATCGAACTGCACATTTTAGTTCAAATATTCCATAATAATGAATAGAAATGAGGAAAATTCAGGTAAATGTGTTATTGAATTTTCACATGATTGAAAACTCTCATCTCCCTGCTTTTCAAAAATTTGAAATTCAATGATTTTTATCCCTCTGAATGTCGCTCTCTTGAAAAACACTACTAAACTGCCCATGAAAGTTCATTTTTTTTCTAACAGTATATTTATGAAGTAAAAGCGATTTTTACACTCACGAGAAATTTTCTCTGACATTTCAGGTAAAATACTTGAAATATTAAACAGCAACAAATCGTTACAAAACTTCAACAGATTTCATTATTAAATCAGTAAATTTCAAAGAAGTTCAATCCCGTTTCAATTTAATCTTGAGAGTGCTGGAAAATAATGAGAATTCAGGCGTTTATTGCCTAGAATTTTCAATTTATTATAAATTCTATTCAATGTGATGTTGAATTTCACTTATGAAAAAAACTCATCTTCTTGAATCATCACAATATACATAATATTTCATAAATAATTTCCCTTTAAATCAAATTAAAAGCCACAATATTGAAAGTAGACATATTCCTGTCCATTGAATTTCAATAATTTCCAACAATCTCCAAAATCAATTTTGCAGAAATGCTTGTAGTAATTGCAATGTGTTTTCGTCTCATATTAATGAGAGTTTTGTCTTTGATTATGTGTAATGGACTACTATTTTTGGAAAAAATATATTCATTTAAAATCGCTGAAATTTGAACTTACTTGCAAGATTGACATACAACATCACTCTGCAACCCTCCGGTGAATATTTGATCGATAATACAATTGCAATGATGTGGATTATCCTTAACAAAAATTGGTGCTGCTTCACAGTGTCTGTGAAGTACATCCAAAGTAGCAATGAAAAATTCGTGAGCATCCTGTTGTTCATAACCAGCCAAGTGTCTCGCGTGTGTCCATATCAAATGGAGTAGTTTATGGAGTGTGAGTGGTGCTTTGCTACCAGAATAGAATTCCTGGAAGAGGTGAGACACTTCACAGACCAGACATCGACTTGGCTGGGGGCAATGGTGACGATCAGAGAGGAAATAATCTCGCAGGAGTGGAGTGTGAGTCAATGCCTGGACAATACAGTTCATGAAGCACGTGCTGCCTAAGTTTATGAGCCCCCTGAGACCTTCAAGCAATTTTTTCACCGTTAAACATTAGTCATAATTTCCACTGTGATTTCAAGAGATGTTGGAGCAAAACAAAACAACATTCATCTAATCATCATTTCACGATGTTTGGCTCATTATTTCAGCCTCATCAGACTGGTCACCCGGTTAATGTTAAATTGTGGTACTTTAGTACTTTGGTACTAAACCAAAAGGTAAAAGGATGACATTCTCCAACATCCCTTGAAATCACTGTGAAATTTATCAGCTATAGAGATGAACCAGAATATTAGAGTAGACGAAAAAATAACCGATGGATTAGCACACGATATGTGTAGAGGCTATTTTTTCCGACGGTCAGAATGGAAAAGTAGGGAAATTGGTTTTTGTACCAATTGTTGAATTCTCCACAACGCGCCTTCGTCGTGGATTTTTCCTCAACAATTCCGCCTCGACTTGTGTTGGTTCCCAGGCACGATAGAACTCTCCCAGACTTAGGGACTTGGCTGACTCGCTCCATTGTGCTTTGGCTACTGTCAGTAACTCTCTATCGTATACATAGTCTCCACATTGGAAGCACAGAATATTACCGTAACAAAGATCCACGGCTGAAATGAAACATGTAAATCCGTTACTTAATTCATCAAAAAATATTCAAAATACATTTCTCACGAGTTTTATTATATAATTTGACATCCATACAAATATTAACATTATTCAATTAATCAATAATCATTGAGAATCAAATGATTACCTAAAAAATGTTTCTTCGTTTTCGCATGCTCCTGAATGTGACCACCGACATAGCAACCAAAAAATATGCAGTGCAAGCAAGAATGCAGTCGATCCTTGTGGGTTTTGCAAGTATGACATAAGCAGCTGACGGCCTGCAAAAGATGGTCTCGTTAATTGCATGAAAAAAAATCAATCCCCAGTTCTCGAACCATCCCTTGGCAAGCTATTTCCCATTTAATTCTCTGGAAAACAATAAAATTCGCATGAAAAAAAAACTTTCCTTCTATTTATACTTGCTCCCTCTATTTTTACATCACCAGTTGCACATAATAATCATGAAAATCGAACGGTATCTCACATCCAATTAATTTCTCCATAAATCGTAATCGGAGCAGAGCCCAAAAAAAAAAAGAAATTGATTTTACAAGTGCAGGGCCACGCGCACAGGGTAACTCAAATGTAATGTCCGATCCTGATAGCCTGAATGAACCGTACGTGTGGGCCGTATCACGTACAGCATCACAGTGACTAGTGTGCATGTAAATACAGGGTGTTTGTATTTTCGCCAGTACCCCCAGCGTATGTACAAACCACGAGACTTGTCAAGCTCACAAGCGAGCGTCATGGATTATAACCTAAACATCAACCTCCCTGAATGGCCCTAGCCCATCACCATAGGCTTGAAATCCTCCTCTCGTAGAAACAAACTAATCTCCACTCCTCTTCCAGGGCACTTGTCACTAAACAAAACCCTCAAAACTGCTCCAAAATACTCGCGACACCGGCTAATGCCCGGTCAATATTCAATACTCAAAAAAAAAAATTCAAAACAAAAAATATCCCACCTTCCTGATGCGTGCCTCTGCCGAAGTGCTAGTGACAAAGTAAGAATGTATAACTTTGTATGGTTGTATTCCCTTGGCAGCTTTAAAATTATTCAAGTGTATGCAGCCATGGTCGCTCATCTCAGTCCGACTATTACGGCGAAGATGCACGAGACTTTTTCTCGTTTTCTCAATCTCAATGTGACTCCAGTATGCTGATGTTTTTTATTCACGTAACCTCGACAATTCCACTTATTATTTAAGATATTTAAAAAGCCCCAGTCAGTTTCACGCTGTTCAAACGTGGAATGAGATAGAATGGGACTTGTGTATTTAACCGGGGCGTAGCACGCTGGCCTTGGAAGGATCACGCGTGTCGTTGACATGGAAAAGCGCGTGAGCCCTCGAAATAATTGATTGCTTGTATTTTTTCAAATCGGAGTACAAACTTCCTCAGTACTCCTCTTGCAAACTTCACCTGCAGCGCTCTTGGCTCCACTCTTGACTGTTGGCTTACGCCCACGATAAGTCCCTTGGTTGGATTTTTAAAGAGCCACTTGGAGCAATCGAGCGAGCGAGAAATTTTTTGGGTAATAATGGGAGAGAGAAGGAAGAGAATGTGAGAGATAAGTGCGAGGAGGAGGGGGGGCCCACGCGACGACGAAAATTTGCCAGGACGCTGGAGGAGTTGTATTGTTGAGCCACGTTTTGCCCCACGTTTTCAACACCCAGGCGCTCACGGACACCAGCCGGTCACTGCAGCGGCGCCGGTACGAGCCACTCGTACCTCCTTACCCCTCTTTCTTTCTCATCCCTACTACCTCAAGTGTGTACGGGGGATACAGTCGTGTACTTGAAAATATCCAGAGCCCCACTGTACCGTTAATTTCCTTGAACTCCGTGACATTTAACTGTGGATTTGACATTTGCGAACTTTGTCTCGGGTTTCCCGATGAATCCGACGGGTTTGGAAGCAGATTTTAACGTTTTTGATGGATGGGTTAAGGGGGAGGAGAATAGGGTCATGGGAAGAATTCGGACAGTTGAGGGGTCGCGAGTCTCTAGGAGATGCGGGGAAGAAATAGCTTAGTGGTACAGCCCTGACCCACGCCGCTCATTCGCCTCCTCTCGTCAATCGAGAACAGCTGCGCATAGTACGCATCACGGTACGCATCCTCTCAAAAGCATCGGTGTCTGTAGTTGGCCCTATGGAACCGCTTTAATCGCTCAACCCTGTCTACTTACCATGACCCGGGACAGGTTTTATCCTAACAGTCCTCCATCTGCTTTACGAGTAAAAAATTTCATTGTCTATAGTTTCAATGATTCCTCACGAAACTACGTTCTTTAGCATGATATTTTGGAGTAAAACGAAGGAGGAATAATTTCGATTTTCAAATTACTGAGTTCTACTTACTCCAGGCATATGCTGAAGATTATTATGATTGCCTTAGAATGTAAACAGAACGAGACCAGAGATTATAGGGGAGGTTGCCAGCGCTTATGTACAAGTTTCAACCGCAAAATTTCGTAGCGGTGTCGTATGAACTAATCGAGAGTACGTACCTGTGAGTAAAACAGGGAGCGTATGAGAGCGCTCACTGAGAGCTTTTAGAGAGTATCGGAGCAAGTGATGCCATCTCTAAGATAAACTGAAACGAAAACTCCTAAGGTACCTTCCTGCAATATCATATTGACGGTAATATACCGACATTTTTTGGACTAAATGAAGTTTCTCCGATTCGAAATTTATACTTGCAGAGTATGTCCAAGGTATAGAATCTGATGTATACTTCTGACATACTTCGTCCAATATGATATCATTGATAATTTCCAACAAGTTGGAAGAAGCACCCGATCCATCTCCATTAGTCTATTAATTAGAGATATTTTTCTTCACTAGATTTTATGTTTTTTGACCCACTGAATCCGAATATTAAGATCCCGGAGTTGAATTCCTGTCATTTTTTTGGTTACTAACAAATTCTTAATAAACAATTGGAGATTCGACTCTTGCGGCCGGGAAACGTCTTTTCTTTTGGCAAGTTCTGAAACATTTTTCTGTATTTGCAACGGTTTCATCAATCAAGATTTATAAACAAATGATTTGGCAAGCTATTTTCAATATTGCTTACTGAGAATTATTTTTTTCGTGTTTCACGTAGTTTTTTAGGTCCTTTATATGATATGCGAGTCATTTATGAGAAAACTGATTTCATTTGCGCCGTATCGACCTTTTTTAAATAGTTATTTTCATCACAAGGTCCACAAAGTATTTTCTGACGAATGTGGCTTTGTAAATTCTAATTCTCTTAGAATTATAATCACATTTGTCACAAAATACTTTTGGACCGTGTGATGAATGCAATTTTTCGTTAGAGGGCCCGGTAAACCGCGATCTAACCGAGCGAAGCGAGAAAATTCTTCTCACGAAAATAATTTTTCCAAATAAAAGACTCAAAAATTTCAATTTTCTCAGGAGGAACATTTGTTTCTCAATATTCAAAACATTTTGAGATAAGGTAGTCCTCATGATTTATCCACCAACTCGACCGTTTGACGAATAAAAAAATATAAATCATGAAGAATGAATTTATTTTTACTTAGTTTTTTATTCAACAAACGGTCGAATTGGGGAAAACATTATGAGAACTAACTTATCAAAAAGATTTATTTCTCCGCTAAAAATTGAAATTCTTGTGTCTTTTGCTGGAAAAAATTATTTAAAAAAGATCAATGCGGTATCAATGGCATCGGTTTTTTTCATAAATGACTCACGTACATATCCTACAAAGAACCGAAACAACTACATGAAAAAACATTTGTTTACTAATTTTTATCTATGAAACCGTTGCAAATTCATACAAATGTTTCAGAACTTGCCAAAAAAAAAGTTTCCCGGCCACAAGAGTCGAATTTCTAATTGTTTATTAAGAACTTGTAATCGCCAGAATAATCACAGGAGTTCGACTCCGGGAGCTCGATATTCGGATTCAGCAGGTCAAAAAACAAAATCCAGTGAAGAATAGTATATTTCAGTACATGTGGGGCAATATCGTCTTTAACGTGTGTGGGGTTTACAGCATGAGCCGAAGGCGAGTGATGTACCCACACACGTTAAGGACTAAATTTCCCAACAAGTACTGAACAAAATTTTATGTCACGAAGCCTGAAACCGGCTGAATTAGACACGAGACGCGAAGCGTCGAGTGTGTAATCCAGCCGGTTTCAGGCATAAGTTGCATAAAAATATTTATATCTATAATTTATGCAAAAACCTACATGTTTGTTTCGAATCGTCCCGCTCGGTCGTCACGCCCGATTGGTTGTTTCACAGGGAGGGTTGGGGAAAATGCATTAGTGGAAGGGACAAAAGCGCAAGAGGAGAATTATGCAAACAGCGGGGTTCTACTGTACAGCAAAATGAATGTAATTCACTTACCTGACTTCACTTACCAGTTGGGGTCACTAAAATTTTTGAGGTAATGACGGGATAAATTTCAAATATTTTCTTGGTGGAGTGACTTAATCTGATGCCTGTCCTCTCAAATTAGTTGGATAATAGATTCGATCTTCATAAATAAATTATAGATTCTGCATTAATGTATTGTAATAATTGTCTGGTCTTTTTAATCATACTGCCAATCCGATATAATCCGTAAAGGCATTGTTTATTTCTCTCAACTTTTCTTATAGTCAATGTAATAATATCAATATTATATTTTATTTTTATCGATAAATTGAAGTTGTTGTTGTTGTTTCTTTTATATATTTATATACATAATCATACAGCGTATTACATATCTAATGTTGTTTTTTTTTTCATCGTTTAGGATAAAGCTAGGACGTTTAGAGGTAAATGTGGTTTGGGGAAGATCGAAGGAGCCCCGTGGTTTAGGATTTTTTTTATTCTCAATGACTTGTTTTTTTCTTTATTTAGATTTTGTTATTTTCTTCTCATTACGCTAGATGTGTGGACAAGATAGAGAGGCAGGAGTGGAGTGAGTGGCGATAAGAAATAGATATAGCCCGAGGGATAAACGCTTTTTTTAGTTAGGTATAAATACTCGGAACTGAGATGTGAACATCTCGTTATTTAAATATAACTACAGCTGCAGATTCTGGGAAACTTACATAATCGTAAAAGACTTTACGTTTACAATAAACAATGTACAATATTAAATAACAGAAATTTTCCAGACACTACAAAATGCTGGATCACTTTATTCATTATTATTATTATATATAATTAATCGTTTTTTTGTTCTTTAACAAACACTTGCGATACCGTCTAATATATTTTTTTGTTCACAAATTTTCGAAGTTTCGTTCAAATTCACTCGGGATTTAAGTGACTGTTTGAGATAATTTTCATGTTGAAATTTGAGTATTTAGTTTCGAGGGAAAATCCCGAGTCAATTCGAAGTGCATTAGTCATTACGTCCACGGAGGTCTTTATTTATTTATTTTTATTAATGGAAATTCAATATCCTTAGGATTAATCATTTACGTGGTATCTTGGTATCTCAGAGTGCGATTAAAAGTGTGTGAAATTCATTCAGTTTAATAATTCTGTTCATTGAATTTACCTTTCAACTCGTGTGTCATCACTTCTAGAATTTCATAGGTACATTTTCGTTTATGTCCGTGGGAGTATCGATACTCCTGGTGAATTCACAAAGTCTTAGGAAAGTCGTTACAGGTTGCCGTCGCAGTAAACATCTACTGCAAAATTTTCTCCAAACTTGTTTGGTGGTTCACAATTTTTTTAAAACAATGCTTGTCGAACAATATCGATGACTTTCTCAAATGGATGCGATGCATTAACAGACCAGGGACCATACCTATGTTTTATCTATCATTACATGACTGGTTATAATCATCCTTCAATATCATCAATTTTTTTTTATCTATTTCATTTTCTTTTTCTTCGTTTTCTTCACTTCTCTGCGCGCATTATTTTTAACAAGTGCATGTATTTTTTTCCTTTTGTTGTTTCAGTTGTAGTGAATTAAGTAGCTCCATAGATCGATTTAATCTATTACGCGCAAGGAACGTTGTCTGACTTGTAGCTTTTGCCTGACTTTCGTCTCAATTAGATTCTTGTCAAGATTTATCTACAACATTGAATTGTTACCTCAAGCTTTCGATTATTCTTCCATAGATTATTTCTCATATTAACTCCCTTTAATGTAATTCAATTTTTTCAATTTGAACTACCGTTAAATCGTGATTATAGTCGAGTGCAATTAAGTTTTCCACATTCAAAGAAGACAATGAAAGCACGGAAGTGAGTTTTTGATACTTTATTGCACTCAATCCCACCGGTGCATTTCTCAAATCAGTCATATAACTTTCTCTTTTAAAATTTATTCACCATCATTTTTTTCATTAATTTTTCCTCGAGTATAAGTGGGGCAGTGCTTTATGTAGGGGAGGGTGGGGTAAAACGGACACTTTTGGCTTTTTTTTAAATGTTAATGAGGGGTTGAAATGTTGATGAAATTTAATTTTTTTTTTTTCAATAGAGAGAACAATTCTTTCCCTTTGTGATGAGCCTAAACTGTTATAAATTATTTTTAAAAAGTTTAAAGTGTCCATTTTACCCCACCCTCCCCTACATAACGTAGGCGAGATTGAACCCACGGCGCCATTGAACGCAGCCCTATCGCCATTTATTTTCACTTTCTATTTTTTTACTAGCTCTCATACAGTATTGTATAAGTCGTTTCCAATCCTA